GAGTTCGAGAACTCAGAAAGATGAGCAAATGGTTCCGCGCTAGACCATACTCCTTCTTCCTAACTCAAACATACACCTGAACTCGAGTTCTTGAAGCCCTGGCCGAAACGCGGTGCGGTCCGTCAATTGGACATTATGTATCCTGTCAGGCGGGGCGCCGCGGAAGTCAGTTGGCTTGGTCCTCACTGTCCCCCCCCCCAACTCGTCTCCCGATCCCAACATTTGGACACAGACTCTTAACCCCCTCCCCTCCCCACATTCGCATGTTTGACTCAGTCCCATCATGGTGGCCAGAAACACTTCAGCGCATTGTCGAGGAACTACCAGAAAGGGGGGGAGTTCGGACCCAGGCCCTGTAAGAAGAAGGACACCATCCTCCTCTTCTCGTTTCCCTCCCTGCCAGTCCCTTCCCACCTTCACTACTCGCTTCTTCACCCCCAGAAACGCTCCTTCCAAATCGTATATGTGCAGTTCTACAGGCCTACATAATCACTTACTCAAAACCCTTGTTTGCCTTCCCTGCCCACGAAACTGCCAACGCTCGCGAAACTCCCACTTTTGTGACCTCGGCTGCTGCCCGCAGATTTGGGTTTTCTGCTCGGTAAATTTTTTATGTCAGCCACTTTGTATGACATGAATTTGTGCGGCCGATTATCACCATCTTTTTGGGGACATAAAGTGTATTACCGGAACGTCTGCGCAGAAGTAATATCGACAGGCTGCCAAGCAAGTCGGGATAGCACTTGTTTTTCAGTCCTCGTCAGATCAGCAGGACCGCCCGGCGTCCCTGGAGTTTCTCCCTACAGTTCAATGCACCACCATTTTATACTACAATCTGAACGTTCCGCCTTACAAGAGGCTTCAGGAGGAGAAGGACTGCGCAGTCTGCTGCGACACTTAAGATCGAACCGTATCGAAGGCGATTCTTTTTCAGATTGTCTACCGGACACCAGCAAGCTTCTCCAGAGGCCTACGCCAACGGGTGCTAGCTACAGTCGAGGCAGTGGCTGCACGGCTAGCCAATCCAGTGCTATGCTGTCAGAAGACCTGACACAGGCGCTCTGTCTTCCGTGGCCAACGCCGACCCCAGCGTCGCCCCAACCTCCCGATGCCAGGGTGTGTGCACAAGGTACCCGACGCACTCACAGCCTATGTCTCCCCTCTCCCTCGCCCCCTTAACCCAATGACCACGACACGCCGACCACGCCATAGCACGCCTTGTCATGCGAGTGGCGTGGGAACGATGGATGTTAATTGTCCCCGAATCACTTATAAGTCATGTAATTCGCATAACTTAAACTTATTTGTAACCGTTTTGGCCTGATGAAGAGTTACTGAAGACGCGTGCTCGCCATTTTGACTTTCCAATTCTTTTTCTGTTTAGTCAGGTCTAATTTCGCTTACTTCCGTGTCTGGGGGCCTTCTGGGTGTCCACCAGTCTCAACAGATTCGCCCTCCATTCACGGTTTCCCTGCAGCTCAGGATTTCGGACTCGGAATCGGTTGATCCGAACTCCTCCCTTTCCATAATTATTGTATCTTGTGTCGTTGGCCTTCATAAGCAGCTGCGTCAATCTCCATGACGGTACGATAGCTCCAAAACCTCGGACGACGTCCACTGAGTGGCCCACGGAGTGTGCTGGACGATGCTGATTTACACATGAATTAGTCTTCAGTGGGCCAGACTTTCGCAGCATCTACCGCACTCTTTCCCCCATCACCTACCTTGCTCGATAATGTCAGGACTACTGGAGATGGGCGCGTGTCCAGTGGCCGCCATATCTAAACAACTCGCCTATGCCTACCACATGCGACCTGGCCCCCTGTTCCAGGTACCAGGCTTCTGTGTGGGGGGAGGGGACTCGGACGTCGCATCGATGAGAGCGTCATGAAGGTCATGTTAGGGAGGAGCCATCAAAACCTGACTCTCTTTCCTGAGAAGCTCTGTTATTTTGTCATTTGGCAGCCTTCCATGCCACAACTTTTAAAACGTCGTGGTTGATTCAAGCACGTTATATTGTAGTGAGGAAGGCCCTGAAGTGCCCTGAGGATAGATTCCTCCGTGTCGGCCTCAGGCTCGCTTTCCTCATCCGTGCACCAGTCGACCGTCCGAAACCGTCAGTCGGTGTCAGGCTAAACGGAATGGCTGTTGCGGCCTGGAAGCCTACGGCTAATTCATGCCACAT